CTCTCTCTCTCTTTCTTTCTTTCTTTCTTTCTTTCTTTCTTTCTTTCTTTCTTTCTTAGCATGAGAGTAACCATGAAAAAAAAAACCCCAGCTTTTTACACTGAAATGAAATTTAAATTGCTAGCCACATTAGACATGTAGCAATTTTCCCATCTAAGTGTGGGAGTTGACATGTGTAAGTACTTTTTCTTGTCATAAGTGGCATTTACAAATTATAAAAAGTTATGATTTATGAAAAATAAGAATTTTGACACTGAAAAATATGGAATTAGTTTTTCTTTTAAAATGATAAAATTTGTGTTTTGCTCCCCTGCCAGCCTTTGGCCCACCAGGGATGCCACACACCTCCTATTTGACAGTGGCCAAGTCACATGACCACTTACAAACACAGACTTCATGTATGACTATAAATGATAACTTTGTAATGGGAACGTGCATGAGGTCCTAGCCCCTGTGCTAATAATACTCAAGAAATTAAAGCTCTTACGACCTAGCAAAGGCGTGCTTAGGTTCAGGCCATGCCGGGGCTTTGGAGTCTACTGCTGGATGTGGACTCACCGTTCTGAGAGCAGAGGGTTAGGGGCACGTGCTCCGCTAGCGCTCTGCCTAATGGGGTGCGGATAAGAGAGAGGCCGCTCGGGGACCCCGCAGCGGCGAGGCTCACAGCAGAAGGGACCCCACTGGGGTGATGCGCAGGGCCACCTGGGGGTTCCCCTCTGTGACGCGCTCAGTGGCCCCCAGGGGGCGCTGTCGTCAGCAGCTTGGCCCCTGGCGGCCAACAGTCTCCACCCCGCGATGGGGCAACCGGGAGGGGAAGGTTGGTCCTCCTGGGCCCCTGTACAACAGCCCCTGCCAGGCGGCAGCAGACACCATGCCCTGGTGGAGTCACCTCTGCCGTGAGTAGTGCGCCCCCCATCGGAGGTTCACCCCGGGGACCTGGCGGGCGGGACGGCTTTGAGGCCCACTGGCTCTCCGTTAGTGGCGGGAGCAGAGGTGGAAAATGCTACATCGCAAAAACATCAGCAGCTAAACGAGGGCCGAAAGATGCTCTCCCTGGGGAGCCTGGAGGTGACCAAGTTGGGGTGCGGGGCCGGAGGGCGCCGGCATGGCTGTTTGGCGAGCAGCGTGAGCTGAGTGCGGCCGACTCATAGACAATGAGACAGAAAGCGGGGTCCGGGTTTCAAGGCGGGTTCTAGCTCCGTGCGGAGCCGCAGTCGCACGTGGTTCGGGGCAGGATACCTACCGGTGATGCGCACGTGTGCGATCCTAGTTGGGTTTTATGTTGGAACCCAGTTTAAACCTTGGCCGCAGGGCTTGGTAGTTTGGAAGGCCGCCCTCTGGTCCTGCAGCTATTAAAGGTGTGTGACAGCTTCCTGATGTGATCAAAGCGGTGCTTTAGGAAGCAGGGCGTCTCCGAACAGGTCCGCGGGGTGCAGGAGGCTAATGGAGCTGAAATCAGGGCCGAGTTGCGTTTGCCCAGCCTTTGCACAAAGCACGAAGGCGCCATCTGCGCCCGCAGGGGCCCGTCTGGAAGAGGTTCTCACAAGAGTAGCTCCTAGGATTACTTAGGTCAAAAAGAGACTACAGACTAGTTGACAGGATTTAACATTTTTTGTAATCCTATACGTATACATTTTTTAATGTGCTCAGCCCATATATCCCCTCTGTAAAGAAAACATCTGAATCTTGCTAAGCTGTAAGCACTACCAGTAACTGTTCTGTTCGCCACTTGGCAGCTGCTCATCTTTGTTTCCCTGGTTTTGACTGTAAACATCTCCCCATCCTCCCAGAATTTAAGAAAAAGGGTTGCAGATTGAAATGCAGATGTAGGAGCATGGAAGGAAAGGGGGGCGGGGGGGATGGTGTGGTTAACACCTGCTTTCCCACTATGTGAGCAAAGTATCCCTGCATGTTCTGTTGAATTCTAGAAAGGTTAGTGAATGGGTTTGTTTTTACCTCATGCTTAGTGGCAGGAAATTTATGTTTGTGTTTATTAGTAAAATTGTACTAGAATAGAGTTTATTGTGTGTGTGTGTGGGGGGGGGGGGGTCTTGACATTTTTCCTCTGGTGAATTTCCAATGATATCATCCACCTTTTCAAAAAAGGTCACACCTCTTGTGTTGCATAAGAAGTGTTTGTGAGTATGTTTTTTATAATTGGGGACATTTGTAAGAAGCAGTGCATAGCATGGAAATACACTTAAAAGATCTTTAATTCTTGATGCAGAAGAATGACTATAAGGATCAAAATGGACGTTATATCTGAATTGATTGATTAGCATTTTTTTTTTCGTAAGGAAGTACTCCCTGCTCCCATTTATGCTTTTAGTATCACTCTTTTTTATTTTATTTATTTTTTTAATCCACACTTGAGAATTTTGTGAGTATGTTTTTATAATTGGGGACATTTGTAAGAAGTAGTGCATAGCATGGAAATACACTTAAAAGATCTTTAATTCTTGATGCAGAAGAATGACTATAAGGATCAAAATGGACGTTATGTCTGAATTGATTGATTAGCATTTTTTTTCCGTAAGGAAGTACTCCCTGCTCTCGTTTATGCTTTTAGTATCACTCTTTTTATTTATTTTTTTAATCCACACTTGAGAATATTTTTTTCCATTGATTTTTAGAGAGTGGAAGGGAGGGAGAGAGAGAAACATCGATGTGAGAGAGACATACATCGGTTGGTTGCCTCTCGCATGAGTCCTGATTGGGGCCAGGGATCAAACCTGCAATCCTGAAATCCTTAGGTCTAGGGCCGACGCTCTAATCACTGAGCAAAACCAGCCAGGGCTTTCGTATCACTCTCCATTCATGGATTTTTTATTTTATTAAATGCATGGTAACCCATCCCTGTTACTATTCTTTTTTATGCTTCAAAGTTTGGCCAGAAGGAGCGCCTTCAAGCTGGCTCTTGTCCTTTTGCTATGCCTCCCTCAGCTTTTGAGTTCCTCTTTTCTGCTCTCCTGAAAAATATTCTTCATACTTTCCCTGACCCAACCAGAATTTCCCAAGGACCTCTAGTGTCTTAACCCTGTGTTTCCTATAAAGTGGAAGAAGTTATGTCTAAAACTTGATGGGTTCTAGGTCGTGGGTGTGATATGTGATTCCATTTTTCATTGCAACAGAATGTACACTGTCTGGTTGACCCGCCCTTTGTGATGCTGTGGCTACTCATTTTTTGGTAGTTGAGATTGTTAACTTTCTCTTTACAGAAAGCGCAGAGTAGTACCTTTAAACCTGAATTTTTTAAGGTCATTTGAAAGAAGTAGACACTGTCTTAATCTATTGAGATTCACAAATACTAGATAAGACCCTTGCCTATCCTGGAGTTGCCTGACATTAAAGAAAGTGTTAGCTAGTTGTGTTTTCAAAATGTTTTCGTTTTCGTGAATTGTAATATTTTATCCCTTCTTCCCCCCACCCCCTTTTTTTTTTTCTGTTAACAGTTGGCCAGAGAGAATCCGAAGATGTGAATGAAAGAGGTTCAGATAAAGAGATGGCTGCCAACTCATCGGTTGTTCAGGACATCACAAAGGATGGGCAGGAGGAAATGCCTGAAATAATTGAGCAGATTCCTTCTTCGGAAAACAATTTAGAAGAACTAACGCAGCCTGCTGAGTCCCAGACTAATGACGTTGGATTTAAGAAGGTGTTTAAGTTTGTTGGCTTTAAATTCACTGTGAAAAAGGATAAGAGCGAGAAGTCTGACACGGTCCAGCTACTCACTGTCAGAAAAGAGGAAGGTGAAGGAGCAGGAGAAGCAGAGGGGGCTGGTGACCACCAAGAGCCCAGCCGGGAGGCGGGAGAAGCAACACACAAAGAAAGTGAACTGAAACAATCCACAGAGAACCCCGAGAAGCCTCTGCAACCCGAGCAGAGCAGCACGGAGATTTCTCTTCAAGCTGAGTCTGGTCAAGCAGCCGAGGAAGGCAAAGATGGAGAAGAAAAACAAGAAAAAGAACCCACCAAATCTCCAGACTCTCCAACCAGTCCAGTGGCCAGCGAAACGGCGTCACCCTTCAAAAAATTCTTCACTCAAGGCTGGGCTGGCTGGCGCAAAAAGACCAGTTTCAGGAAGCCCAAGGAGGATGAGCTGGAAGCTTCGGAGAAGAAAAAGGAACAAGAGACAGAAAGAGTCGACACAGAAGAAAAGGAAAAGACAGAAGATACCTCTGAGAAACTGGCTGCTTCGGAACAACCACAGCCACAGGAGGCCACAGAGAGTGTCCACGATGCCAGATTATCAGCTGAGTATGAAAAGGTGGAGCTGCCCTCTGAAGGTCAAGGGCAGGCATCTCCTGAAGAGAGATCTGCCCCTTTGGCAACAGAAATATTTGATGAAAAGGTAGAGATTGTTGCAGAAGTCCACGTGAGCACGGCGGAGAATGCAGAGGAGCAGAAAGCTGAGGTGGAGGGAACAGAAGAGCCCCAACCGGCTGAGAAATTGGCTGAAACCAACGCTGGGCCGCAGGAAGCCGAACCTCCAGTGTGTGCGCCTGGAGGGGACCACACCCAGCCCCCCGAACCAGGTCCTGAGGAGCAAGCGCTGTCTGCCCAGCCGGAAGGCATCGTGAGCGAGGTGGAGATGCTGGCATCCCAGGAGAGAGTGAAGGTGCAGGGAAGCCCGCTGAAGAAACTTTTTACAAGCACTGGCTTGAAAAAGCTCTCCGGGAAGAAGCAGAAAGCGAAGCGAGGAGGAGATGAAGAGTCGGGGGAGCAGCACGCGGCCCAGGCGGACTCTCCGGATAGCCCTGATGAGCCAAAGGGCGAGAGCTCTGCTTCCTCCCCGGAGGAGCCCGAGGAGATTACGTGCTTGGAGAAAGGGATCGCGGAGGCACACCCGGAGGGGGAAGGCGAAGAGGGAGCCACTTCCGATGGAGAAAAAAAGAGAGAAGGTGTGACTCCCTGGGCATCTTTCAAAAAGATGGTGACGCCCAAGAAACGTGTTAGAAGGCTTTCGGAAAGCGACAAGGAAGAGGAGCTGGAGAAGGTGAAGAGCGCCACGCTGTCTTCCACGGAGAGCGCGGCCTCGGAGATGCAAGAGGAGGGAAAAGGACACGGGGAGGAGCCGAAGCCCGAAGAGCCGAAGCGCAAGGTTGACACTTCGGTGTCTTGGGAAGCTTTGATTTGTGTGGGATCGTCCAAGAAAAGAGCAAGAAAGGCATCCTCTTCCGATGAGGAAGAGGGACCGAAACCGATGGCAGGAGAAGGCCCCAAGCCAGATGAAGCAGGAAAAGACAGAGAGGCAGGACCGGAGGCTGTCCCCGCAGGTTCCCAGGAGCACGACCCAGGGCAGGGAAGCTCCTCCCCTGAGCAAGCGGGAAGCCCCTCGGAAGGGGAGGGCGTTTCCACCTGGGAGTCCTTTAAAAGATTGGTCACCCCGAGGAAAAAATCCAAGTCCAAACTGGAAGAGAAAACCGAAGACCCTGGAACGGGGGCCGGTGCAGAACACTCAGCGGCAGAGGTGGAACCCGGGAAGGAAGAATCTTGGGTTTCAATTAAGAAATTTATTCCTGGCCGGAGGAAGAAAAGGTCGGATGGGAAACAAGATCACGCCACTGCCGAGGATGCGGGGCCGACAGAAGTCAACGAAGATGATTCCGACGTCCCGGCCGTGGTCCCTCTGTCCGAGTACGATGCCATGGAGAGGGAGAAAATGGAAGCGCAGGAAGCCCAAAAGAGGGAGGAGAAGGCCGAGCAGAAGGGGGCGGTTTCTGTGTCGGAGGAGCTCAGCAAGAGTCTGGTTCATACCGTGACTGTGGCGGTCGTCGATGGGGCGAGGGCCGTGACCCATATGGAAGAAAGGTCGCCTTCTTGGATCTCTGCTTCGGCGACAGGGCCCCTCGAACAAGCCGAAGAGGAAGCTGGGCCACCCCCTGCAGGGGTGTTGGAAAGAGAGGTCAGGGCAGAGGACAGCCCCGTCGTCACCCAAGCCCTGCCTGAGAGCCGAGATGCCGGTGAGGACGCCCTCACCAGTGAGGTGGAACCCACTCCCGAGGCCGTGACAGCTGTGGAACCCACGGAGGCATTTGGTGCCGAGGAGGCGACCGAAGCATCTGGTGCCGAGGAGACCACCGACATGGTCTCGGCCGTCTCCCAGTTAAGTGAGTCTCCAGACACCACCGAGGAGGCCACGCCAGTGCAGGAGGTGGAGGGCGGCGAGCCCGACGTGGAGGGCCAGGAGAGGCGGACCCAGGAGGTCCTGCAGGCGGTGGCGGAAAGGGTTAGAGAAGCGTCACAGCTCGATGTCAGGGGCCCGGGAGCCGAGATTCACACAACGCGGAAAGAGGGATCCCAGCTGCCAGTGGTGGGGGAGACCGAAGAGGACCCTCCCGTGTCGGAGCTGAAGGAAGAGGTGGACGTGGTGTTGCAGGGACACGCAGGAGAAACAAAAGCTGAGACTCTGACACCAGGGGAGGTCTTTGGACAGGCCGCCCCAGAACACACTAGAGAAGTCCCTCAAGTCCCCGAGAGCGTCGAGTCCAGCGAGCTCAGAACCCCCTGCCAAACCGAAACCGTGGTTGGGGTAAAATCAGAGATCGTCCTGGAACAGGCTGTTGGCCCCGACTCAGCCGAAACTCTCACAGACAGCGAGACCAGTGGAAGCACCCCCGTGGCCGACTGTGAGGCTCCCCGTGCCACGCAGCAAGTCAAGGTCATGGAAGTCCACGCAGAGGGTGAAGGTGCATCCGGTACGAAATCGCAGGTCACGGAGGCCCAGGCAGCTCCTGCACCGAAAGAGATGCCCCCAGCACCCTCTGGGCTTCAATTCCAGGAAGAAAAGAAAGAACACTCAGAAATAGAAGGGGGTCCAGAGCATACGGATAAAGAGGTATCAGTGGAGACTGTACCCATTCTTTCAAAGGCTGAGGCGACTCAGGAGGCTGGCCAGTTTGCTGATGAGGAAACCAGAGACGTACCCTTCGTTCAAGGACTTGAAGTGTCTGCAGACACAGAAATGACAGCTGGACAGAAAAAGGCCATTGAAGTCGCCCTTAAAGATGAAGTTACTGAAGAAGCTGATTGTCAAAAGAATGAAAATACTGAATTCCAGAGTCCTGCTCAGTCTCTTCCAGCCCCAGGGGAGAGAGAGATGGTAGTGCAAGTGGAAAGGGAGGAAGCGGAAGCCGAGGCAGCCCGAGTGAGTGAAGAGAAGCTTGAGGCAAAACCAGCCGAAGTGCTCAGCGAGCAGCTGGTCCACACGGTTCATGTGACCGTCATCGACGGGGAGAAGGAAGTTCTCCATTTTGAAGAAAGTTCTCCTTGGCTAGTTCAAGTCTGCACAGACAGTCAAGTTCAAAGCTCGGAGGCATCATTACCTCTAACAGCTGTCGTTGTGGAGAAGAAGGTCTTAGGAGAAACCGTCAAGCTTTTAGAAGCAGCTGGACCTTTGGAGTCTGCAGATGCACGTTTGGAACCGGAAGCGAGGCCCTCTGACCAAGAAGACGTTATGGATCAGCCCGGGGAAGATGCAGCGCCCACAGGCCCTGCGTCTCCGGCAGAATCGGCCCCGGTCGTCATACCCGCCGCCCCTGCAAAAGGCGTCTGTGCTGACCTGGAAGGAGATAAAACCACCTCCCAGGAAGGGAAGTCCGAAGAAGACTTCGAGCAGGTTAGCGGGCAGGGAGACAGAGTGAGTGAAACGAGAGAGGAAGGTTTAAAGGCCGAAAAGGAGATTTTGCAGCTTAAGACTGAGAGCCATAAACTTGTGCAAAACGTCATTCAGACAGCCGTTGACCAGTTGGTAAGCACCGAAGGAACACCCACCGACTGCCAGACACCGGCCCAGCTGGCAAAGGCTGACCATCAGGAGGCTGAACAGAAAATTGAAAAAGAAGAAAGGGAACTTCAGGGCTCCGCAGAGGCTGGGGCAGCCCAAGAGGAGTCCACACTGACCACCGTGGGACAAACCCCCTCAGATATTTCCAAAGACGCGAATGCAGCTGCAGAGGAGGTCACGGCCGTTGAGGTCAAAGGCTCCCCAGTAAATGACCAGCTGCCTGAAGAGCTCGTTCTCCCAACCCAGGAAAAGAGAGAAGCAACCGGAACCAAGTGTGTGCCAGAATTGGGTGATCGTGCCGGCTTAGGAGAAAGAACAGAGAATGAACCCCAAGAAGATGAAAAACGTGACGCTGTCCATTACCCTGAGAACCAAATCTCAGCCCTGGTAGACCCCGAGGCCTCGGGAGACTTAACCAAAGAGTCCCCGGATGCAAATGGACCAAAACTAAAAGAGAAAGAAGTGGGATTTCAGGAAGGAAAAGGGCCGAGCGAGCCAGAAAAAGAGATCAAAACACAAACACAGGAGGAGGCGCAGGAACAAGAGAGGCAGCCAGCAACGCCAGAACTTGCGGAACCCTAAGACGTCATGTAAGCAAGCTTCTTTTTCTTCTGAAATAATTGTTTCCTCTTTCATGCCATTTGATGGCAAATTTGTTATAGGGGAAGCAGGAGTTCAAACCATGATGATTTTAGGCAGAACCTGCCATTGGGGAGTGCCCGTCCACCAGATTAGGAGATCTGGGTTAATTAGTTTATTTTTTTCTCTCTCATTGAAATGCCATTCAGTCATCTTGGTGTCATGAAAATAATGATGTCATTTTATCCCCAATGTGACTGCTTTCAAAGAATATGAAGGCCCACATGTGCGTGTTTGGCCAAAGATCTAAGAAATATGTTGTGCTCACTCAGCCCCATACCAACTAGTCTGTTGAATTTTTTTTGTAACTAGAAACTCAAAGTAGGTTTATATTATACTGCCTGAAATTTATTTTATAGCTCTTTAGAGGAAAAATTAATTTTTTCCCCGCATTAGTCACACTTTTTTAAATATATATTTTTATTGATTTCAGAGAGGAAGGGAAAGGGAGAGAAACGTCAATGATGAGAGATAATCATTGATTGGCTGCTTCTTGCAAGTCCCCCAATGGGGATTCAGGCCTGACTGGGAACCAAACCTCAGCCTCCTGGTTCATAGGTCAATGCTCAACCACTGAGCCACACCGGCCGGGCTAACAAACACTTTTTAAAAGATTCCAGGCATGTGACATGTTAGGGAACCACAGACATTGGCTTTGAAGTCGAAGAGCACCTTCTACTTTCTTATAGAATTAAACGATGGTATTGGAAGTGGCCAGTGACTGCAGCTCACCGTCACAGTTCTTCTGTGGCTATATAAATGAGGAGAGAGGAAAAGGAGACTATTTTTACTTTGGAATCTTTCTTTCTCCTCTAGTTACACGAGTGTCTTTGCAAGACCAGAATGTGAAGACAAGTGGTAGAAGAAAATGAATGCTGCTGATGACACTCAAGACCAAGATTTCAGAACTTTGAGATCCCAAGAACAGGCCCGCCAACCGATCTCATTCCCAGAGAACCCCGACAATCCTGAGGCTGCTTCGGGAGCTAGAACCAGTTCCTCCTCAAGACCGCCTGCCGCGTCCCCTTGATGCCATATCGTGTTTCTCATCCGAGGTCCTGAATTCTTCACCTGGAACTGGAGTTGGCAATACCTAGTTCCACTTCTCAAACTGGAGTATCATTCTTTATGTATTTATATGTATGTCTTAAGTAATCCTCCTCCTGTATCTATTGTATATTTTTTCCTACTGTTTAAGGAGATGTGCGGTAGAGTACACTTCCGATGTACCCCAGTCTGTGATGGGGCATGGGCCATAGTGTCGCCTCGGCAGCTCTGAGCCTCCAGTAGGACCTGTGAAAACAGCTTCCTAGAATAACATTCCTGAGCAGAAGCTACATTCTCACTTTAAAATTCCCTAAGGACGAGGCCCGTGTTTAGTATTACTCTGAAGTCGGTCACTTTCCTCTGATGCACAGTGTGCTAAAAATGAAAAGCATCTTTAGGGCGGAAACATACAGAATGTTCTGTGGTTACTGTGAAATTTTTCTTTCAAGCCCAGTGGAGGATGGAAGTTTTTTTTTTTTTTTTCAGTAGTAGATTAACTTCCAGTCTTTTCTCCTAATTGTTATGGTGGTTTGGACAGATGTGGGCTTAATCCTGAGGCAAAGTAGTGAAATGTTTTTCATACTCTCAAGAAAAGGATTGACTGTAAGTTTTGGGTTCCACCCTTACATGCGGGACCACATTCCCACACAGCATGAAGCAAGTCAGGCTCTTTACAATGGCGTTTTGATAGATGCTGGATTGTGTCTGTGCCATATTTGTGCCCACTCTTTTAGAACAATGTTGCATTATGTTCATTTGGATAAACTGTGATTTGACAACTGATTTACTAGTAAATATTTGCTTCACTTAGATTTGCTGGTTTTATTAGATACTAGGAAGGCTGAGATCCATGTTTCCTGCCTTCTGCAAGCAGAATAAGCTAGAGCTTTCTAATGTAGTTGCTGTATGGCATGACCACTTCATACCGGTTTGACTTCATGTTCAGAGGAAGTCATAGCAGATAGGTGTCTGCCAAAATAAACCAGGGGCTTTTCAGATGGACGGTACTGATACAATGCTACCATCTGGTGGTATCTTCCTGAAAAGGTCAATTTTCTGCATTAATGTTTGTTCATGATGAGTGTTTCTAGAAAGAAATTTTAAGAAGGCTTTGTAGTAAAATTGCCTTGCAACAGGTGATCTTGGGATTTTTCTAAATGTTAAAAATGATGTCTGATTCTTGCTAATACATAAAGGATTCTGTTGAACAGTTGCCACACAAAGAATAGTCCGTTATCTACCCTAAAATTCCACTTTTCTGCAGGTAAACTGGCCTGGCAAATACACTTTTAAAATTTTACTCCAGCTCGGTACTCCCAGTTTGAGAACTTAATTTCAATGGCCAATTGATTTTAAAGGATAACATTCTAGAAAGACTAGAATAGCCTTTTAACAGAAAGAACATTTGCTGTTAGAAGTGAAGAGTAGTTGCTCTGATACCAACACACCTGACTATAATAAAACATCAGCTGAAGTAGTTGCTCTGATACCACACACCTGACTACAATAAAACATCGGTTCTAGTGTACGGCCTTGTAGCTGGAAAGTACTGACTAGCTTTTAGGAATTACTCTCATGTATAATAGCCACCTGTGCTTAATTGTTAAACTTTAAAATCTCCAAATTAAAAAAAAGAAACCTGTGATCTAAATCAGCGGTTGCCAACCGATGGTCCATGAGGTCCGAAAGGTTGGCGACCACTGGTTTAAGGAAGCCTTTGGAGCAGTGGTCACCAACCGGTGGTCCACAGACCCATGGTGGTCAGAAAGGTTGGCGACCGCTGATCTAAATAGCTTCTCTGGCCAACTTGGGACTTTTGTAAAAAAGTGCTAGTGTCAAATTTAGAAACATCAATGATTAGAGAGAATCATTGATTGGCTGCCTCCTGCACGCCCCCTACTGGGGATCGAGCCCACAACCTGGGCATGTGCCCTGACGAATAGAACCATGACCTCCCGGTTCATAGGTTGACGCTCAACCACTGAGCCACACCGGCCAGGCGCTGGTGTCAGTTTTTGAAGATCAACCAAAAAGTATTGGAGATGACAGCAATTTGGAAGGAGTTCAATGATAGCTCCAATATTGACTCAACTTCCTCTCTCTGGCAGGAAGAAACTGTGCTATTTTGAGCAGATTAAAGATTTGTGTCGTTTGTGGTAAACAGATTTCCTTTTTTTTTTTTTTTGGTTTAAATTCCATCCCGCCACTTCATCACATTTGTACTGACATGTGGCCAAGCAGGTCATCACAACTGGTCTTCATGACTCTGCTCCGACTACATCTGGACGGGCCCTGGATTACTTCTGTACAAGCTCTGTACCTCTGTCTGTTAAGCAACATTGCTTTACTAACGAGGAATGCTATTAACAACTGTAGCGTGAAATACAGTTCTGTGTTATAATTCTAAAGCTGCCGTTACTTTATGAAGTTCATAGCAACCGTGTAAACTGCAGAAATTGGAGCAAGTGCCTAAATTTTGCTATTTTTGGCATTACTATGGAACCATGTACAACAGAAAGCAATGCAAGACTTGTAAACTCTCGCCACTTCTTGTAATTGAAGACTATAAAATGTGCCCCTAAAGGTTATTTTCTTAATGGTTCACACACGTTGTCTCTCTCTGTACATGTCTACTTTGTTCCAGAAGTTTCCTTTGCTGTTTGGAGCTACAGATAGTCAAGGGCTGAAAATTTTAGCTTTCAGTGTAAGCTTCAAGCCTAGCAGTTTTCTTTAACCTAAGACAATATTTGATTCCTAGTTCTGTTTGGGGGCAAATTTTCATTTATCTAAATAAAATGCAACCTAATGAAATGCCATGGATTTTCTCTCTATAATTTTCACCTTAATTCAGTTTTGCTTGCTTTTCCCTGTCATTTCGTGATATTCCTCACACATTTAACTTTTTAACTACCAAGCCATCCCTTTGTGACACTGCGCAGAGCATCATGGGAGTTTGGAATGTCTCTGGGATACGTGTGAATGTGCAAAAATCTCTGTCGGTGATTCTTAACCTTTTGGGGTCAGGGGAGCCATTTAATTGGAATCTTATTAAACCTCTGACTGACCTCCAAAAACCCCAAAATGAGCAGTGTCATCATGTACAGTTTTTGGATAGTCACACAGACTTACTCTGAAATCCCAACCAACAATCAGAACTAGAGTTAAGTCTCCACAAGAAAGGAAATGGACACAGTTCAAGGACTCCAGGTAGCAAGCGGATAAAACCTGGACACAACCGATGTGTCCAGTAACCTCAAGCCTACATGACTATTCATTTTCAGTGATTCCAGAAATGGGTCTGCTGGGCAACCTTGCATTTTTGTGTAACTCCACGTTTCTCCTCTGTGGAGAGCGGCTACAGCGTTTGGACAGGTTCAAGCCTGGGACTAATGAGAGGGCATGGTCCTCTCCTGGCAAAGCCACGTGCGAGTCCCAGCTTGGAGGTCAAAGCCCTCCCAGCACAATTATAGCCAAAGTTGTAAGCCTGACCTTATGGTCCAAACCTGTGGCCCCACGTGGCTGAGTGATATGGGCTGCGGGAGGTGCAGCAAGTAAACAAAGCTTGATCAGGTGCATGTTGTAACCCCGCCCTTTCTTTGCCTCGTGGGATCTGGCTATAAAATAAAGACTCGGTGTGCAGGCCCTGGCGCTGTCTCTATCAGAGAGGGCAGCGTCTCACCTAGCGCCCAGCTTTCTTCTCTTGTCTGTCTTTTCTAAATCCGTCACCGCCCCCTCTCAGGTTCGCCATGGCGGTGCCGGCTCGGCACACTCCTCTCCAAATTCCTTACCATCTCCAGCCTAGGTCACTGGAATTAGGAAAATGACCTGGGCCTAGCGGGAGTGGCTCAGTTGGTTGAGCTTTGTCCTGTGCACTGAAGTGTTGCCGGTTTGATTTCCGGCCAGAGCACATGCCTGGGTTGTGGGTTCAGTCCCCGATTGGGGCCCAAACAGGAGGTAATGGATCAATGTTTCTCTCTGTCTCTCTCTCTAAACATGTCCTTGGGTAGGATTAGGAAAAAAGAAAAGAAACTGATCGGGGTCTATATATATGAGAGTTGAGATTATCACCTGCTCTTAAGTGATAACAGGTTTAGGCTAAGGTGGCCAGGACTTGGGGATGGCATGGTGTGAAGATAATGAAGAAAATCTTTTTTTTTAATGTCACAGCTCACAAATCAAACATTTCTTTCACTGAGGATATTTTTTCATCGATTTTAGAGAAGGGGTTGGGAAAGAGCGACATCAACGTGAGAGAGAAACAGCTATCGGTTGCCTCCCACATAGGCCCCAACCGGGTATCGAACCCGGAACCTTTTGGTCCTCGGGACGATGCTCTCACGGAGCCACCTGGCCAGGGGGAAACCCATTTCTTGAGATAGAAATATAACTGGCGTCCTTACAGCGTTCTACTCTGTAATCTCATAACTGTGTATTTTCCCATTGCTTGTGAACACTGAAATCTGTAACACCAGTGTTACATCTGACCTCTTAAGAGAAGCTTCACTATAACAGTCGGATTTGGGGACGGGGTGGAGTAACAGTTCCTAACGGATGACATTAGTGTTATTTCCCTACAACAGGATACTGGATACTAGAGCCTCGTAACCACCCTGTGCTTTTCCTGCAGTTCTAATAACAGCGTAATTAGTGAGCACACGGGCAATACTTAAGTTAGGCGAATTTAAATTTTAAAGCCACACTGTGCTTGATCCTGTTTATCCCTGTTAGTCTTAGGAGCTCACCTCGTACCTGGAAAAGCAGGTGGGGTTGCCTGTTGAACTTGAAACCTCACCACAATTAGGGTTCTTTTAAAAGACTTGACAGAAATGATACTATAGGGTGGTCAGGTGGGCTGTATCAAGGAATGAGATTAACCCTAACAAGTATTCAAATAGTTCAGCAGGGAAGTGAGGCTGTCTCTGCTATGCTACTATCTATGCTATGCTAGCGCCTCCAAGGCAGTGCTGGGGGCTGTGAGTTTTCGGTTATCACAGTGGCCAGGGTGTTACTAGAATTTTTAAAAATGCATATATTTTATTGCCCTAGCTGGTTTGGCTCAGTGCATAGAACCTTGGCCTGTGGATCAAAGGGTCCCAGGTTCAATTCTGGTCAAGGGCACGTAACTTGGTTGCAGGCTCCTCCCTGGCCCTGGTCAAGGCATGTGCAGGAGGCAACCAATCAATGTGTTTCTCTCACATCGATATTTCTCTCTGTCTTTCCCTCTCTCTTCCACTCTCTCTAAAAATCAATGGAAAAATATCCTCAGGCAAGGATTGAAAAGAAAATGAATAAAGAAGTATGTGTCTATCATTTAAAATATATTTTATTTATTTTAGAGAGGAAGCGAGGAGAGAGAAAAACATCAATGATGAGAATCATTGATCTGCTGCTTCCTACACGCCCCCTGCTGGGGGCCTATGCATGTGCCATGACTGGGAATTGAACCCTGACCTCCTGGTCCAAAGATCAATGCTCAACCACTGAGCCACGCCAGCTGGGCTAGAATTTGATGAGTGTAGGCCACAGATGTTTGTGATCCTGCAAGGCCAAAGGATAGCCCCCTCCCCTCTTTTTTTAAAAAAGATTTTTTGTATTTGATTTTTAGAGAGAAGGGCGAAGAAAGCACGAGAAACATTGATATGAGAGCAAGACATCAATTGGCTGCCTCCTGCACGCCCCATACTGGGGATCGAGCCCGAAACCCCGGCATATGCCCTCAACGGAAATCAAACCAGCAACCATTTGGCTTAAGGGACTGGTGTAGGCAGTAGTGGTTCTCAACCTGTGGGTCGCGACCCCATTGGCGGTCGAACCACCCTTTCACAGGGGTCGCCTAAGACCATCCTGCATATCAGATATTTACATGACGATTCATAACAGTAGCAACATTACAGTTATGAAGTAGCAACGAAAATAATTTTATGGTTGGGTCACAATATGAGGAACTGTATTTAAAGGGCCAGAAGGTTGAGAACCACTGATAGACTGACATGAGCAGAGCAAGGATGAGGGGCTAGGTAGGTCACCAGGTGGAAAGCCCCAGGGGCCTAGCATAGGACAATCAACTGTAGGGTGGGATCTCGCCCTGGGTGACTCTTCTCCCCTAGCATAGCCCTGGTCTTGGATCCCCTACCTTTCAGCCCCAGAGATAACATCTATGCCTCAGTTGGATTTCAGCTCCAGGCTCAGATAAGCAACAAAGCCAGGCACAGCTGACCTCAGTACCAGCTGCATTGGATAATGACCCTGGTGCCTGCCAATCAATCAGTGGGGACCACACCCTGAAAGGATACGCCTAGAAAGCTGCTGAATATTCTATTAAGATCGTCCCCTGTCCCTGGCCTGCGTGGCTCAGTCGTTGAGTGTTGACCTATGAACCAGAAGATCACGGTTCA